GGCCTCCGGAGGAGCGGACAGGTGTGGCGCGAGGCCCCGGCTCCCTCGGCGACCTGCGGGAGGGACCGATGCCCCGGCGCGGCGCCTCGGCGGAGTAGCCCTGTCTTGAGCCTGAGTGGGCAGATTGGGGGCGACTCTCGGAGGCACTGGGGGCAGACGGGGCACTGCGACTTACCGAGGTCGGTGGGCCGCAGGGTGATGTCCTGGCTCTCCCCCGCGTGCGCCCTGGCTACCGCACCCCAGGCCAAAGACCCCCCCAAGACCCTCTCCCTGTCCTGGCGGCCACTGGCTGAGGATCGGAGGAGCTGCCGGCTTGGTGACCTCCACGCAACCTAGGGTGTCTTTCCCATTGCGTTGCCTTCCGAGCAGGGTGGGGTGGCGTGGGGTGGAGGTAGACTAAAGAAAGAAAAGCGGCTGGCCGGCTGGCTCAGTTGGTTGGAGCTGGCGCTGATAACACCGAGGTGCACGGTTTGATTTCTGCACCCGCCAGTCGCCAAGAAGAAAGAAAGGCGAGCACGGACTCCCTCCATACACACCAAGTTCCACCTCCCAGTGGGTAGAGCTTTGCTCGTTTCCCTCCGACCTGCAGCCTGGTGTGTGTCATTACCCCCACTTTAAAGACGGGAAATAGGCCTTGCCTTTTGGGACAAGGGTCCAGACCTGGGGCAGGGCTCCCAGAGTACCTGCTAATTCAGGACAGTGGGGAACCTTCATCACCTGGGAGGCACCTGCAGCAGCTGGTGGGGCAGGAGATTAGAGCTGCCAGGACAATGGCAGCAGCCAGGATGCCGCCTCAATTGCGTGGCCCCTTTGGCCCCGAGTGCCGTCCTTCTCGCCAGCCCCCGCACTGAGTGATGAGCTGGGGGGCAGAAAGTCACACCACCACCCTGCACACACACAGCAGGCCACATCGGCCTGGTTCTCGCAAAACACAGTGAGAGAAGAGGACTCTTGGGAGTTGCATCTGAGGGGTGCGGGGAGCCCTAATGTCAACTGCAAAGCCTAGATCAGGCAGAGGTGCCCTGGAGGTCAGCCTGGGCCCAGGACCTTCAAGGAAGGGGGAGCCAGGCTGTGTTGCCAACACAGGTCCACTCAACAGGCAGGCAGGGCAGGTGTGTGCTCGTGTCCTGATGCTGGGGACTGGGAGTCAGAGAGGCTGACAGAAGAGAGAAGATTTGCACCTAAGTGCTCAGTTAGAAGCCCACACTCACTGTTCCTCTGTTGTTGGGTCAGTTTAAAGACCATGCTTGGGGCTGGCCAGGGACAATAGCTTCAAACCCAGGTCCCATCCTGAGGTGTCCTCTCACCCCTACCCCACCCCTAGCAGGGAAGGCTGGCGGGGGTGAGATTGCAGCACCCGGCAAGAGCCTGTCCCCAGGAGCCCACTCCTTCTGGGAGCCTGTTGTTCCAGGTCTCGGTAGGGGAACCCTAACTTGCAGCTGGACGGCATGACCATGTGGGGTTGTTCTGCACACTGACCTGGCCTCGAGCCATTTCCTGGCAGGGAGATCCTGGGCAAGGCCCGTGACCTCTCTCTGTGCCTCCGTTTCCTCTTCTTTAAAGTGGGGCAATGACCGTACCTCCTTCAGAGGGTTGTTGTGGGATTACAGGAGCCCATGCGTGAAAGTGCACGGCGGGATGGCAGTGATGATTGCCAGGGAAATTCCAGGACAAGAGAAGAACATGCCTATTATATTCTCTGGCATTTGCTGTAATGTGACTTAGCCGGCATGTTGAACCAAAACGAGTTTGTGTTTTGGTTTATTCAATATTAGCAGCAGAAGCAAAGAGGGTCTCAAACCCAGAGCTTCTCTGCCCTTGTGTCAGTCTTCCCCATCCCCCCTTCTCCAAAGTCCCTGCCACAGCCCAGTGACTGATAAGGCTGTGGCCCCTCCACCCAGTTTTCAGGCCTTGAGTCTGGTGGAACCTCCCAGGAGGGTGAGTGTTTTGAGCCACCAGGCACTGGGCCTCTGCTTCCAGACCACCTGCACCTGCTATGGCCCTGACAAGTGTAATGAAGGGGGACTCTGGATTCACCAGGGGCAGATCAGACACTGCCTCTTGCCCCCTAGGATGGATTTGATTAAAAAAAAAAAAGTGTGGGTGAGGATGTGGAGAAATTGGCGCTCCCACACGTGGCTGGTGGGGATGTGAAATGGCGCAACCGCTGTGGAAAACACTCGGGTGGTTCCTCAGTCAGTGAAATATAACATTACGTATGACCGGCAATTCCACTCCTAGGTGAATACCCAAAAGAATTGAAAACAGGTGTTCAAACAAAAGCTTGTATGTGCATGTCCACAGCAGCGTTATTCACAATTGCTGAAGGTAGAAACAACCCCAAAGTCGGTGAACAGATGAATGGATAAACAGAATGTGGTGTATCCATACATGGAATATATTTCAGCCATAGAAAGAATAAAGTTCTGACATTTGCTATAACGCGGATGAACCTTGAGAACACTGTGCTGGGTGAGCAAGCCAGACACGAGAGGGCACATGTTCTATGACTCCATTGGGATCATGTATCTAGAATAGGCAAATCCGG